GCACATGCTGATACTATTTTAATCTCACCTCCCTCCCACTTGCAGAATTAATTCCCACTCCCTTTGAATTATACCCTCTTCAGAAGGCTGTCCTTTCCCTCCCCTGTCTGTGTCGTGGTCCTGCATATGCCTCATGACATCATCCAGACATTGTTCAGTAGTTACATGGAGGCTGTCTGACATCAGTCTCCCTTGCTAGATGCTGCACTCCATGAAGATACAGACCACCATATTCCCTGGTACCCCCAATGCCCAGCACAGGACCTGGCGCTCAATAAGTGTCTTTGGCCAGATGCCCCCAGCTCTGCTGTTGCTCGGTGGGATGCCTGGTATGTCCCTTCCCCTCTTTGAGTTTACACAGGTCTCTGTAAAATAAAGGGGCTGGAGGGAGTCCCCACCAGGGCTTTGTATCAGAATCCCAGAGGAACATTTTAAGTGCACATATTGTCACGGTCATCACTGAGGCTGGGTGGGGAGTGGCTAGAGGGACAGACACTGACAGGAGTGAGTGGATGTTGACAACATGGAAACTGGCCAGCGAGTACCTGGAGCTCATTATGGTTTGGTTCACTTCATATATGCTAAACTTTTCCACAATAAAAGTGTTTATAAGATCCACCAGGTCGGGCTCCTCCCCAGCCAGTGAAGGAGAGGGGAGCCGGGAAGCCACTGATGTTGTCATGAGCAGCCCTGGGGAGGATCTCCCTGGCTCCTCCCAGCTCGTGGGTGCTGGTGAAAAATGTCACACCCCGAGCATGTGCCTCTGCCCTCCCCGCAGTCCTGCTGCCGTCTGAGCACTGCGGGTCAATTGCCTGATCTCCTAACTCAAGTCCCCCAACACCACCCGCATCTTCCAGGTCCCCACTTCTCAAGTGCCCAGCCCCCACTGCCTCACACCTGGTCTGCTCTGCAGGACCCCAGAATGGGTCTGCACTGATGAGGTGCCCCTAGTCACAGTGCCTGGCCCAACAGGGGACGAATCCATGCAAGCCACATTGAACTGAATCATCATGAAAATACCTTGGTGGCCCCCAAGCTGTGTGGCACCAGGCAGGTGGCTTCTCCCTGGCTTCCTTCTCTGAATGGAAGTGATAAACCCCACCTCCCAGGCCTGGGAAGGACCCAAGGAGACCACAAATTTAAAAAGGCACTGCAAGTTGTGGAGTATCACCAAGACTTACCCCATGCTGAGCCGACTGTCTTCCCAGGGGCGCCCAGAACCCCCGGCCTCTCTCATGCTGGACAGTGATGGGCTATTACTGCATCTCTCTCCCAGAGAGCTCAAGAGGCAGATGCTATTGGCCACATCATCTCCACGTCCCCAGTCCCCAGGACCCAGCATTGGGCCAAGGAGAGGGAAGGTGGATGGGAGCTGATAGAAACGGTCTGCAGGGCCTGTTGGCATTCCCAGGGCCTGCAGAGCACAGACAGGCCCTCTCAGGGCTCAGCTGGCAGATGCAGTCTAGAAGGTCCATTCTTGCCAGCAGGACACACAGGCCAGGACTCCAGCATGCACGCAGGGGTGGAGCAGGGCTGCTCAGCAGTGTCCTGGGCCAGAGGCCCAGGAAAGAGCAGGGGAGTCCTGCTAGACCACCCCAGGCCTCACCACCTCCCCTGCGTGGCTGCCACAGCCTCTAAGAGGTCTCCTGCTCCCTCTCTCCCCACCCCAACTGGTTGGAGAAAGCTCCCCAAGATGCCCCAGTTAGTGCCCCCATGAGCTGAACACCCGCCTCCGCAGGGGCACCCCAGCCCCGCAGTCACGCTCGGCTCCCGAGCCTCTAGCACCTCCTGCCTGCTGCCTCCTTCCTCTTCCCCTGACTGCCTCTCTCCACCCAGCCGCCTTTTGTTCATTCATGAGTCCCCCAGATATCTCCTTCGAGTCTCTCACTTTCTCCAGACAACTGCTCAAACCTCCCTTGTGGCTTGCCTGGGGTTTAGTCCAACCACAAATAAAGCAGGTACATATTGGCTCATGGAATCTTAGCAATGCCCTTTGGCCCCGTTTTACAGGTTAAGATACTGAGGTTCAGGGCTGGGGTTGTGGCTCAGTGGTAGAGCGCATGCCTCACATGCATGAGGCACTGGGTTCAATCCTCAGCACCACATAAAAATAAATAAAGATATGTGTCCATCTACCACTAAAAAAAAATTAAATTAAATTTAAAAAGATACTGAGATCAGAGTGGCTAAGTACCTCATCCAAACCAGTCAGGGTGGAGAAGACTGGGTAAGATCTCTTCCAGCTGCTCTAGATCCCCCCACTCCAGCAAAAGGGACTCCTGGCATGGTGAGGGAGGGCCCTGTTCAAGACCCAGCCCCTGCTGACTGCCTAATGCTCAGCCTGGCCGTGGGTCCAGAGAACAGGAGGATCCCCAGGTCCACAGAGCTCACAGTCATGTGCAGGTGGCTCCGCTGGGTCCCTAGAGCTGCAGAGGACAGTGGTGAGGGCAGCATCTCCCTGCATGCCACCAGGGTGGACAGCCTGCCTTTCCAATCTCTTTCCTGGTCCCCTTACACCTTTTCCCTCTCTGGGTCTCCTCACCGTTCTTGGGGGACTCCACCCCTCCTGCTCCATCCCTTGGCTGGACCTTTCTCAGCCTCTGAGCACGTCCCAGGATCTCTGAGGCTTCCCTTCTCAATCTGGCTCTCTGCCTCGTTGTCCCTCCCCCTCTCTGTCTATTCTCTGTCTCTCTATCCCTTCATCTCGTCTCTGCCTCTGTATCTCTGTCACTGTCTTTCTTTCTGGGTCTCCCAGGTTCTCTTTCTTTTTCTCCTGCGGCCCCTGCCCCCCCCCCCCGTCTCCATCTTTTGGAGTCTCTATGTGTCTGTCTCTGGATCTGGGGAGAGGAGCACCTCCCCTGAGGTGTCCCCATCTCTGGCCCAACAACAGGCCTGCCTTCTAAGCATGTAGGGGGCGGGGGACCCCCGGGCATCATTCCGGGCCCTCTCCATCTGGGTGGCAGTGCTGACAGACGAGATAGTGATCAGGCTCAGCTCTGTCTGGGCCTGAGCAAGGGGCACAGCCAGGCTATGCGGGGGCGTCTGGGTGCCTGCAACGTTTGCAGGCTGCACGTCTGGGTTTGTGCGCAGGTCTCCCCATGTGGGGTGGTCTGGGTGTGTGTCTGGGTCTATTTGTGAGCGTCTGAGCCTGTTTACGTCTGTTGGCAGCATCTGGTCTGTGTGTCTTTGTGAGGTGCTGTCTGTATGTGAGCACCTTAGCCTGTGGTCTCTCTCTCTATGGGTGCCTTGAGAAAGCCCACATGTGTGTGTCTGGGACACATGAATGACTCCTTGGGGGTACTGAAGTCACTGTGTGTCCATGGGGCCATCCATTGGCCAGGCCATCTGCTTACATCTTCTTGTGGTCATGAAGGAGATAGGATCCCACTACCCCATTGGACAGGTAGAGAAGTTGAAGTTTTTAACCCCTTTGCTTGAATGTATGACCATGGATGTAATCTTCTGCTGGAGGTTGAGATCAGGGATCTCGGCAGCTAGCCATGGGACTCCAGGCAAGTTAGCTCATCTTGGTAAGTCTCCTGAATCCATTCAGCAAAAATATATTGATCAAAACTAAATAAAACCAATCTCTAATATAAGAAGTTAGTCTAGGAGATATCTCGGAAAATATTGACAGGGAAGGGGACCAAGGGAAACTTCCAAGTGCTATAATGTCCTATATCTTGATTTGGATGATAGTTTCATGCATGCATTACTTTGGAAAACATTAACCAGCCTGTGTATTTTGGATGTGTGCATGTCACTATATAAATTCACCAGTGTGTGTGTGTGTGTGTGTGTGTGTGTGTGCGCGCGCAGGCTTTAAAAATGTTGTTTTTCAAAAAAAGGTTCAGTCTAGGCTTTTAACATCCTTAGCCCATCCACACCCCATTCCCTTCTTCCCTGTCCAAACCATGATGGCAGAGGGCGGAGGGAGAGAGAGACCCCAGTCCTGGGCTGGATTGTCCTCCTGTTCCATCTTGCCTGTCCCTTTCTCCCTCAAGGTGGCCATGAATTTTCCTCTGGATTTTGTGGACCACTGAGGTAAGATGGTGGGTAACTGCTGGCATCCCATGAGTACTCTGCAGAAGAGCTCAGAGTAGGAAACGAGGGGTGGAAGATGTCTTGACCCCCCACCCACCTGCCTAAGGCATCCAGCAGTGCCAGCAAGGCCTGGATGCACACCTGCCTGCTCTCCACCTGCAAAGTCCTTACATCCTATTACCTGTCATTCAATAAAATGCACAGAGCCATTACCATATGCCACCCCCTTGGCTAGGCCCTGTAATATACCCTACTTTGCCCTCATTACAACTGCCATTAAGGGCCACCATCTTCATCTTCAAGCTGAGGAAACTGAGGCCCAAAAGGTGGAACGACTTCCCTCAGCTCACACTGCTCAACCACGGAAACTGCGGGCTCCCCTGCCTGGCTCTGAACTGCCATCCTCTGTGGGTCAGTCTTCTCTTTGGGTTTCAGAGGTTCCCTGGAAGCCTTAGTAAAGGAACCAAATCCATTTGCTTTTGCTCTCTTGGGAAATTTTAGAATTTGTGACATTAGGAAAAGTGGGGCCTAGGCTGGCCTTGGAGATGGCAGTCGCTGCTCAGGCACATTTTTCAGAAGGCCTCTGTAACCGCCTGACACACCTTCCAGCCCAGCCAGGAGCCAGGGGAGGGCCTCTGACCTCCGCAGGGAAAGCATGCATGTGCTCATCGAATATTGGAAAGAACAAGCAAACAAATGAATGGCACTTTGTTGACACATCTTCCACCTGAGCACCTCTCACAACGTGTCGATATTATCTCTGATCTCTGTCACTGCTCTGAATTCCTTGAGAGTGGGAACAGGATGTCTCCGGATGGTGACAACCAGTCCAAAACCTGGCAGAGAAAGGGAGACCAAGAATATTGGATAAATAAGACCTAGAATTTATCTTTGGGCTTCAGTAAAACTCTTCAGTCCTGTGAATGTCACCCACTCAATGGCAGCAGTACCAAATAGTTTCGATAAGTGGTTTTATTACTGGTTAGATTTTACAAATTCTGATATTCGAACAGACTTCCACCTTAAAATTCTAAAACAACAAAGCGACCGTTGGAGGGGATTTGATTTTTTTCCTTTTTTTTTTTTTCTTTTTAGGACTATTCAAAGTAACAAACTTTTTTTTGTTGTTTTTTTTTTTTTTGCTTTTTGTTTTTTACATGTTTGCTCTGGTCATAAATATACAGAGAGAAAAAGAGGGAGAGAAAAATGAACAAGTCATTCAAAGTATGGAGATAAAACAGTATTCCTAAGGCACGTGGCAGTCTTTGAAAATACAGAAGCTCTAGCCAACTTAAATTATTTGTTGTTTTTCCTCGCTCAGTCCACAAAACTGTACAGGGACACAAATGTTGTGTTGCGGATAGATCTTCCAAGTAATTCCTCAGTGCACACCACTGCTTCAGCCAACGCAATCTTTTTTTTTTTTTTCCTCTGTTTCCAGGCGAGATCCTAAAATGTGGTTAGTTAGTTGCTCAAAGCCTCTATTTTAAAATACACTTGGAATTCAACTAAAGATAATTTCTTTTTTAAAGAAATCGTGGGGCTTGGGGGGCCTCGAGTCATTAGAAAAGGTTGGTAAGAGTCGTTTGTGAGGGGCTGTGAGGCTCGTGGCCCTCCAGGTTGCCAGGCACAGAAGTTAAGACGGACGTCACAGTCGGCAGGGTGGGGCTAGTCAAGTCTGTGAGGGTGGTGGGCGTGCTGGACGGGCTGAGCGACGCGTTGGACAGCTCCGAGGCCGGCCCCGACGGCGTCCCGGTCTGCAGCGCCGCGTCGGCGCTCTTGTCCACACCCGTGTTTTCCTGCCGTAAGAGGTTGCGCCTGAACTTGGCCCGGGCGTTCTGAAACCAGACCTGCGTGGGGGACAGGGAAGGGCTGGTTAGGGGAAGGCGGCCGGAGCTGGGCCCAGGGGCCCGCCTGGCTCAGCTCTCCCGCTTCTGTGCGATCCCAATCTCCCTTTTGGGAAGGGAGGGAATATTTTGTCCTTGATAAAAGAATAAATTTCATTTTCTCCATGGGCTTTTACTGGTTTCTGTGTCTGTTAGAAGGTTCCAGGACTGAGCTGCTGGCCACAATACTGATAATTGAGACCTTGAACCATCAAATGTGGCCCATTTGTACGTGAAAACACAACAGATAGGAAGATTTAGAATAAAAAAAAAAGAAAGAAAAAAAGGTGGAATATCTCAGTAATAATTTATTGATTTCATGTCAAAATGATAATATTTTGAACACAATGAGTTAGACAACATATAGTATTAAATCAATTTTATCACTTTCTTTTTACTTCTTCAGTGTAACTGCTAGCAACTTTAAATATGTGGTTTATGTTGCATTTCTATTGGACACATCAAACAAATCAATTTTTCTTTTCTTTTTGGCAGCCTCTTTTAAACAGACAATAGATCCCATGGGTTCTTATGGGCATAATGTTTTAAGTGACTCGTGGTCAGTCAGTCTGGGAATGAGATAAAAAACATGTAGGAAGTAGCCAGTAATAATGAGAAGTCATTAAAAAGAAAAAAAGAGGCACCTATTCTATTCCCTACCCTCAGGTGGAGAAGCCACCAGGTATCCTGGGTCCCTGGGGCAGAGTAGAAATGGTTGTTGGATTACAGCAAGACCATGGAGACTGTAAGGTGGAGATTCCCTCTCCCATCCTGCCACATCCGGGATCCGTGTATGAGGGAGGTAGGGAAGGGTGCAGAGTGAGAACTGAGCGTGGTGTGAATGTGAACAGCGGAGAGACAGAGCATGGGTTGACTTTCATATCTCCAAGGGCACGTCCATCCGCACACCTTCACACACGTTCCTTTGCACACTCGTGGAGATGTACACAGACACCTACATAGACCCCTCAACCATTTGAACGAGTGCACACACACACACACACACACACACACTATACCCTGAGGACAGTACAGTGCTTTGGGAGAAGCCCAGGAAATCCAGGCTGCTGGGAGGCGAGGGTTATGCCTCCCAAAGAAAAGGAGCCTAGAAGGCAGGGCCCCCGAACTTCCCTGCCAGGAAAACCCTGCCAGGAGCCTCCCCATAAAACAAAGGGCTTTGGGGAATTCTACAGACTCTAGGGGTCCAGTTACGTATTTCCAGATGTGTCTGCATCAGTCTGTCTTCCCAGTGTCTCAGGCAGGGATGGGCTGGGCTGACTCCTAGCTCCCAGTTTCCTTTGGGACCACCCCTGTTGCAGGGGCCTGTGGCCTCAAGCCTCCCTTTCTGGTCCTCTGACACAATTTGGGCTGAATTTAGAAGCACAGCCACAAGTCTCAAAGAGAGAAATGTGGACCCTGTGAAGTGAGGAAAGTCAGCTCCTGTCCCGTAGGCTGGATCTTCCCAGGGAAAAGCAACTTTTCTCTGGCTCTCTGCCCAAAGGAAGCTCATCGCCCCTCCCAGGGGCTTGCCAACCAGCCTATTGCTTCTAGAATCACCCTATGTGCTCTTTCGCGGGTGGAGAGGTCCTTCCCTGGCAGGCTGTACAATCTTCAGGAACTATATCTGTCTGACCCAGGGACTAGCTGATAGAAAAAACAAACATAGAAGGCCCCCAGTGGCTTTCCAAGAAAGGCTGCAGTCTTGGTACCACCCTGGCCATCTTCATGGCCTGTGTACAAGTGATCTGTGAGTAGGAGCAGGTGACCTGGGGGCCAGGATGGTACGTAGCTCATCCTTCAGGGGCTCTAAGGCCTTGGGAAGGTCTGGAACCAGTTAGCTGCCAGCTGTTGGCTATTTCTCAGGCATTGCCTGTAACAATGCATCTGTAAACAACGCCACCATCTTCCACAACTGCCTGCTCTGCTTTACAGGATCCGAGGCACTGGAAATCTGGTAGAAGAAAATCCAGAAACTCAACTAAAAGTCAGGTTACCCTGGGGTTTCGTGTGGGGCTTTTTTTCCCTCCTTAAGCAGAGCTTGGCTAGCTTTCTCTCCTAGATATTTCAAATAATCCCCTCCCAGCTTGGTGTGGCAACGTATGCCTGTAATCTCAGCAACTTGAGAGGCTGAGATAGGAGAATGGCAAGTTTAAGGCCAGCCTCAGGAACTTAGCCAGACCTATCTCAAAATAAGTAAAAAAAAAAAAAAAAAAAAGTGGGGAGGGGGCTGGGGGTGTGGCTCAGTGACAGAGGGCCCCTTGGTTCAATCCCCAGTGACACATCAAAAAAGTCCCTTCCCAAGAGGTTGTTTTAATGACTTCTCATTATTATTGGCTACTTCCTACATGTTTTTTATCTATCCACATCGTCTTCATGACGATGGCAGAGAGTGATAAAGATTAAGAATCAGCACTATGGGTTGAGTGAATAGTAGTGCTAACTTGTGTGCCTTTTACTCTGCGTCAGGCACCGTGTCCCTGTACACATCACAGCTTACCCCTCTGATAAACCAAGTAGGGTGTTCTGTCTGTTATGAATCCCAATTTAAAGATTTAAAGTCCAGAGAGGTTCAGAGGTAAAGTCAAAGGCCACACCGAGGCCAAGCTGAGCTTGGAATCCAAGACTGTTTGCCATAAAAAGTACCTATCCTTTCTGCCTCATATCCCTGAGTAAGCCTGCAAGTAAATGAATGAACTTCTGAAAAGCAGCAATGGGCAGTGGAAAGAGCATGGGATGTAGCTTCCAGTCCTGGTTCAGCCAGTGACTAGCAACATGAAAGTTGGCTGGTCCCTTGCCCCTGGTTCTGCCTCAGGTTCCCCACTTGAACAGAAAGAAGATTGGACCATGCCACATGATTTCTGTGGCTTCCGGGATAGCTGCAAGGAACAAGGAGATGATCCACTCTGCTCCACCCACCCATCTTCTTAAACTCACAGCCCTCTCTACTCATGCCAGCCGGCCATGACTGCATCTGCCACTCATTGCTGTCCTGCATATTTGACAGGAAGGACAATGACCATTTTACAGGTGGGAAAACTGAGGCTCAAAGAGATGAAGTAACTGGCCATAGTTGAAATCTCACCTCCTCCTCAAGGAAGCCTTCCCTATTGCCGTCACTGGCTCAGGTCCCTCTGTTACATGCTCTCATTGCAACACACACTTTTTTTTTTCTAGGACTTCTTCAATTTTTTCCCCCAAGAGTTAAATATTCAATCCCAGCCCCAATAAATAATACAAAATAAAAAGAGTTCTGTGGCCATATAAATTTTGGGAAATATTAGATTAGACAAAATCAAGTCTTGTCAGGTGCAATGGCATATGCCTATATCCCCAGCAACTCAGGAGGTCGAGGTAGGAGAATCACAAGTTCAATGCCAGCCTCAGCAAATTAGCAGAACCCTCAGCAACTTAGATAGACCTTGCTTTAAAATATAAAAAAAAAAAAAAAACCTAGGGCTGTAGCTCAGTGGTAAAGCACCCTTGGGTTCTAGTATCAAAATTGAGTCTTTTCAAGATTTCTCAATGTCTGTGTTGATGCTAACATGCTCCAAAAGAAAGACACAGTCAATTTTTAGCATTTCTCAGACTTATTTGATTCTGGAATAATTTAAAAGATGCTTTTAGTATAAGATATTCCAAACTAAAGAGTTTAGTCTGGTCACCATTTCAATTATTTATACGCCTTGCTACACATCCCATCTAGTTGTAGATTACAACAGGGACTGTTCACTTGTTACTGCTGAATTCTCAGTGTCTCAGTGCCAAGCACGTGGCAGGAAAGTCTATCTGTGTGATACACGTGAGTGAAGAGAGAACTAAGTATTCTCAGCTCCCGAGTTCTCTCACAGGTTAATGATGACGAACCAGTCATCTGAAGAGTTTTATTTATTTATGTATATATATCAACTTTCTGGTGTTAGGAGTACCTCACAAGTACTAAATACATGCTCTACCATGAGCTACACCCCCAGCTCCTGAAGAATGATTTTGTTTTGTTTTGTTATTCTGGGGATTGAAACGCAGAATACTAAACAAGTTTGTTTTGTTTTGTTGGAGACAGTTTCCTAAGTTTCTGAGGTTGGCTTTGAACTTGCGATCCTTCTGTCTCAGCCTCCCTAGTAGCTAGAATTACAGGTATGCACCACCATGCCCAGCATAAAGAACTATCCTTGGTAAAAATATATTTCTTTTCAAAGCCACACCAGGAATCCCCAAAGAGATCCTACCCACCCAAATCAATTAGCTCATCACCCCTCCCCCAAGCCAAAGACATCTTACTGGCATCTGTGTGCTGAGGAACAACCTAGACACATTTGCAAGGTTTAACTTCATAACAGAACTCTGTCCAGGGGCCATTCTGTCTCCCTGTCACCTTACCCACTGTTGGAGAGTAAGGGTTGTGGCTGTCATGCTGCTGATGACAAATTTGAGCACTCTTTATGCAGTGAGATCTTTGCCACCTGTTCCTTCTTTCCCACCAAGACATGGTCTATCATCCTGATGGTGCTCATGCATTAGATCCAGTAATAGCCTAGAACCACCCCCACCCTGTGAAAGAACACCTAGTGTGTTCCAGCTGGCACCACACCGGGGTCTTCTCTACTCACTGTCAGACTCCTCAAGGTAGAAACTAATTTCACAAATAAGGAATCAGGTTCAGAGAAGAAAAACGGAAGCACCCAAATTATGTTGCTGGTAATCAGAGAGGATTTGAACCAGTCCTTTGCTTTCCAAAGCCTGGCTGCCAGGTGCCTCACCCCAAAGAGCTCCTGTCCCAGATCCCCCAGATGTCCCAGCAGCAATCAGGACACTGGAATAAGCCCCACCCTGCCAATGCCTGGTTCCTGCAACCTAGAGCAAGTCACTTCCCCCTGCTAGGTCTTAAGCTTCTCAGCTGTAAAAGAGGCAGGAAAACATTAAGGTGAGGCAGGTGCATGGGGAGAAAGATGCTTTGCAAACTGATGCATAACCCCAAGCAGTTATGCTGCTAGGGAGCACTGAGGATGTGTGCAGGAGACTTGAAGGTTGAGAAAGAGGGGAGGGCAGGGTTATGGCTATGCCCCTTCCCTGGAACACACAGGCTATGATGATATCAGTTCACTACTCAGAGGAGAAAGAACTATGACCATTGGTCAGACAAGCCTGGCTCCAGCTCAGCTACTTACTAGCAAAGTATGACTGGGCAAATAGAATTCCTTCTGGCCTCAATGTTCTCATCTCTACAGAGGGGAAAGGGGGAGCATGATTCTTGACATGTAGGTGGTTGGTCTCTCCTCTGCCCTCCCCCAAGATCTACCCCACCTCACACAACCAATCACAATAAGAGAAAACTGATTTATGTGAGTCTCTCTATGCTTAATAGGTGAATTTCTTCAGAGCCAGAAGCAGTTCATTCCCAGAGCCAATAGATGTTTAGTCAGATGAAAGAATAAGAGATAACTATGCTAAAAATCTAATTTGCTTATAGGCCAAGGGAATCAAGTCTCTTGCCTCCCCAAGACCAGCATAAACTGGTTCCTCACTCAACTATGGGTACTGACTATTTCACTTAGGTCTAGATAGCTGGACAGAGGTTGGGTGCTCTTTTTACAGATGAGATAGTTATGGCTCAGAGAGGGTAACTCATTTATTCAAGACACACAGCCAGTGAACTGAGTTCATATCTTCCTGAATCCAGCTCTGCCTAAGTCCAAGTCCCTCCCACCTCCATCCCACCCCGCCAAACCCTTCACAAGACATCTGGATGAGGGAGACAAGTAGCAGCCTACTAACCTGAGAAAAGGCGGCAGCCCCGGGTCTTCAGTCCAAACTCGACCAGGGCTGAAGGTCAGGGGCGCCAACGAGGGTCTCTGACCTAACCCCAAGAAGGTAAAGTCCAAAGGAAACGCACGAGGTGGGGACCCAAGACCGTACCGGCGAAGCAGTGCCCGCCACCTGCTGAAGAGCCCAGGCAATGGAACTAAAAGCAAAAACAACCCCCGCACCCAGCGCGAAGGGCGGGCCCAGAGAGGCGCATCAACCTCCCATTGGCTGGCCCTTGCCTCTCTCTCGCTACCTCATCCAAGCCCACCAGTCCAGCCGCCCCCAATCCTCCGGAGAACAGGACCCCAGCTTCTGGACTCCGGGCTCAGAGTCCCAACCCACCACGGAAGGCCATCTTCCCACAAAAGTTTTGTTTTGCTGACAGACTCACAGGAACTTTCTTAGGGTTGCAACCCTGCAGATTTATCAGGCACTGTCACTCCCTCAACGTCACCTCCCAGCCCTAAGCCCAAGACCAGGGGTTGGAAGATGGGTCAGACTGGCCAGAACTGGAATTCCAGTGCCTATCCTTTTCTGTGACAGGGGTCAGCTTACATGCCTCTTACATAGCTAGCACTAGAAACGCATTTCCTGAAGAATAAATTGGTTAAACTTGCTAGAAAAGGGGGTATTCTCCTTCCTTCTAGATGGGAAACCAGTCTAGCAACCAGAAGGATCATTCTTACAAGTTAATTAATATCAGTTAATTAATCTACTTAATGAGATTATTAGCTACCATCCACTGAACGACAGTGTCAGGCATTGCTGTGGACACCCACATGATCTCCTCGGCTCCTCCAATAACCCCTTAGCATGATTTCTTGAATCCATCATGCATATGAGGAAACTGAGGCTCAGAAAAGTTAAGCAACCGGTTCAGGACCATGAAATGAGTGAGCTGAGAAGCAGAAGAATTGAGAATTGGTGAAGCCAAAGCTGTGTCACAAGTTTGGGTTGTCCAGGAACCGGAGAGGACCCGCCCCCAGACTAGTGTTCTTAACATCTTTGGTGAAAATTCTAGATCCTGTCTATCAAGAAAGTGCCCTCACATACACGTGCAATTGGGCTCAGTCGGGCACCCAGCCATTTATCCAATCCCCTAGCAGACCCCACCAGGCAGGCCTCCCAGTCACCCAGGGGATCTGCCCACACACCAGGACAACACCAGATCTTTTGGGAGAGTCTGGGAGACAGCCAAAAAGGGCAGGAGATAAGCCAAGAGAGATGCCAGAAGAAAAAAGAAGAAGAGGTGAATGAGACAGAGGCAAAAAGAAAAGAGAGGAACGGCTGGTGGGAGCAAGCTAGGAGCTATCTCCTTGGGACAAAGGAGGCTCCGGATTGATTTAAAACGAGAGCCTTTTATAAGGTGAGCATATCTGAGTGTTGCTTGATTAAAAAAAAAAAAAAAAAACTACAAATTGTTTACAAGAAAGAAAAGAGACCAAGTATGGAGACAGGACAGAGGACCACACACACAGAATGGAGAGGTGAAAATAGAAGGCGGTAAAGTTAGGGGGGGAAAGATTTAAATTTGGAGTCAGACTGAAGAGATGAAGAAAGAGAAAGAAGACGACAGAAGTGTGGAAGGCTCAAGGTCCATGGCCCCCGTGAGTTTCCACCCAAGGCTGTGGCGGCTGCAGACGCCCTCGACCCCACCCAGGCTGACCTGGAGGACCCGCTTGGTGAGGCCAGTCTTTTGCGCGAGCTGCTTCAAGTCCTTGGCGTCGGGGTTGTGGTTAATGGCAAAGTAAGACTTCATGGTCCGAAGCTGGTGGTGCTTGAAGGAGGTGCGCATGCGCTTTGTCTTCTGACTGCTCGGGTATGGCTGGTCGCGGTCCAGGTGCTCTGCGTCGTTCTCATTGCAGCTCAGCGCTGGGGAAGGGACGCAGAGGTGGCAGGTGAATTTCATGACCCTGCTCACATGGCCAATGCCAAGTCCACACCCTCCCGAACCGTTGCCAAATGTTTCTATCCTCGGATCCGCCCTGTGTGCACGCACCACGCTGAGATGAGGATATGAACCCTATTTTATGGATGGAGAAATGAAGCTTTGGGAGCGTAACCTGTCCAGGATCACTGAGCTAAGAAATGCAAGATTCCATTCCCAACTCTGGGAGAATCCAAAACCATTCTGAGCCATCGTGTTACAGGAATAGCTGCAGCAGCAGCAGCAGCAGCAGCAGCAGCAGCAGCAACAACAACAGCTACCACTTGTTGATGGCTTATTGGACTCCAGATGATGTGCTAAAGAGCTCTACACATGCCTTTCCATTGGATCCTTAAAACAGTCCTATAAGCCATAGGTATTATTTTTCACTTTTACAGATGTTGAAAGTGAGACTCAGAAAGGAAAGTCACTTGTCTGTGGATGCAGCAGTACAGAGTGCAGACCATGGGCCCACTCTCTCCCGTTTCCCTGGTACTCTTCAAGGAAAGAGAGAGAGAGAGAGAGAGAGAGAGAGAGAGAGAGAGAGAGAGAGAGGCTATCACCATTCTCCCCCTACAGTGTCTGGCACTGGCACCCAGGAGTCACTAATGACAGACTCACTTTCATTTTCTTTCATCAGTTCCCACACCCCAAAGTACTAAGCCACCCTGGGCCTCCGGCACTGGGCCTAAGATTGGAAATTGTATTTTATAGTTTAATCTTTACCACTGCCCAATGAGGTGGTTATTTCCTAGTTTTACAAATGGAGCAAATGAGGCTCAGGGAAGTTAAGGGACCCATGGCTGTCTCACAAAGAGAGCGGTAGAGATCTTAATGAAAAGGAAAAGAAGATGAAGGAAGAAATTAACATGTGTTAGACACCTACCTTGCACTTTGGCTTTACATATATCATTGTGCCATCACTACTGTTAAGAGAGGTAGCTATACTGTTCCCATTTTAGAGATGAAGAAAGAAACCACTTGCTCTGGTAATGACAGCCCAGGTTCAACATTGTCCTCCCTGCTTCCTAGCACCACACCACAAAGGGAGGCAGGATAAACCTTGACTCTCTTGGCTGGGACCCTAACTAGGGTGAGGGGCCTGAGTAGAACCATGAACCTCGGAAAGTTGCTCAGCAACCTAGCAGCTGATGGGGACATTGGAGATCTGTCTCAAGATTGTCTCATCACATATCAAGTCATCCCACCTTTAGGGTCTTGCTTTGAGGAAAGCCTCCTAGGAGGTTCAAATTCAGTCCTGCTAAAGTGGGGATCTGGGAAGATATCTTGTGCCCTGTCCATTAGAATATTTATTACATGCCCATAATAGAAGGGCCATATTTAGCAAATAAATGTACAAGTTGCCCAATTAATTTTTGTTTACTGAAAAAATGGCCCAAATGTATGGTACATACCTATACTAGAATTTTATTTGCTATTTATCTAAAGTTCAAATATTGCACATGACACATCTGTACTCAAAATGTATATGTTGTTTACCTAACATGCAAATGTTACATGGGATACACATATTATAAAAATTATTCATTATCTGAAATTCAAATATTGCATGGGGTATACTTACATAAAAAAATGTATCCACTGTTTACTCAAAATTCAAATTTAACTGAAGGTCCTGTGTTTCATCAGACAACACTACCTGAGAAGTACTCTTGCACCCTTGGTGACCTCCCCCTCCCCATATAAGCGAGGGATAGCCTCTTGCAGAAAGAATTTTCAGAATAAAGGTCTTGCCCCTAATGTTGGAATTGTCTGCTAGAGGGGACACCACCTCAGGGTCCCTTTCCACATGAACCTAGGCAACCAGGTCCTCCATCCGCCCAAGAGTCCTGTGTTTCCACCAGTGGCACCAAGTGAAGAATTTAAAGGGGATCAGAGCATGACTCGGAATCCCATCTGTGGGAATTGTGTGATGAACCTGCTAAGGGGATCAACCCTTCTCTTTCTCCCAGTCCCCAGCTCCACCGGGGTGAGCCAGGCCTCCCCACGGGGGGGGGGGGATCTCTGGGCCCATCCCACCGCCCAGCCCCCACCCGGGCCTCTCTGCTGTTAATGAGCTCCGTGGGGAACCCGGCGCCCTGTGGGCCCAAGGGATGTGCCCTGAGTGCGGCCTATGTGGGGGAAGATGGTGCGAGGGAGGGAGACAGAAAGAGCAGAGTAAAGAGAGAAAAAAACAGAGGTGGAAAGACAGAAAAGAGAGAGAGAAAAGAAGAGGGGGTACGGAGGGAAGATGGACAGAGAGGAAAGAGAGAGGGAAAAGCAATGGAGATGGGAGAACCAAAGAGGGACAGCTACAAAGAAAAAGAGAGAGAGAGAGACATGGAGCCAGAGGGGGTAAAGCGAGTCCAGGAAATAAGGGGAAATGTGTGGTGCAGGATGGGGATGACTGAATCCAATCCCAGAACTCAAAGAGACCGGGTTCTGCAAGGAAGGACTTGTACGAAGCCAAACCGTTACTAGCTGGGAGTGAGCGAAGGGGCACCGAGGGAAGAGCCGAGGGGAGGGAAGGAGTGGCCCAAGGTGGCGAGGCGAGGCCGGCCAGCGGTGGGGGAGGGGCTGCGCTGGGGAAGGGAGGGTGGCCAGGGAGGCGGCTGTGGGGCCAGGCTTGGCCAGAGCCCCTGACCCCTCGCCGGCGTCCCCAATGCCCAGGGCCAGCTTGAGACGCCCCAAGATCGGATCCGGGGAGGAGCGAGGGGCTGAGGGGAGGGGGAGGACTCGGGCTTTCGCTCTCCTTTTTTTTTTTTTTTTTTCCTCTCAATTAGGCCGATTCAATGGAGCTAAAGAGCTCGTAAAATCATGAATAATTTACTCGTGATCTGTTATTAACCCATCGGGTTTCGAGCTCTTGTCGCTGGGACTGAACCTGTAATCAAATCTGACTTCGCCTCATTTTACTAAAGACAAGATTGTAGGTTCAATTGTCTAAATAATGGATTGGAATCAAATCAGTAATTACGCCGCCAGGCACACACACACACAAAAAGCTGGGGCTGGGGGACGCCCGGGCGTCCGGCCGGTCCGTACCGGACTCGCGTCGCCGTGGCTAGCGAACCCCGCGCAAAGTGCTCGGCCTGGGCCCCTGGCCGGCTCGGGCCTGGTCCCGGCGCCCCCGCTCGGGCTTGGGGGAGGTTTCAGTTCCGCCTCGGCCTCGGGGCAGGGGCAGGGGCAGCGCTCCGACCTGAGGGGCCGCAGGAGGAGGGCGGTCGGTCGTGGCTCCCGCCCCGGAAGGACTTTCCCGGACCCTGCGGCTGCGGCCCCAGCTGCCCGTCCCTAAGCCGAGGGCCAGGCGGGCGCACCCACGGAGCCCCTTACCCACTGGGCCCCCAGCTCACTGCCCTCGGCGAGACTGTCCCTCAGAACTACAGGTTTGCAAGGAATCGTTGTGACTGGGCCCCTGGATGTGGGACACACACAAACAAGCTGGTGTCCTCACAGTCAGAAGCAAGCACTCACACGCACGCAGACACTTGCCGCACCCTCCAGGGTCCCCGCTTTCCAATCCCAGCTGCCCCTGGCCCAGACTGCGGCCATTTCTCTCCTGCCGGCACAGGGAAGAATGAAAGGGGGCAGAAACCAGACCTCAGGAGGCCTGGCTGTTTCCTGAGAGGACCAGGAGTCACCCTTTATCCCCAACCTTGTCTCGAGATCCCCAAATAAGCTAGCCGCACCGCACCGCCACTGCCCGCGCGCACAACGCGGTTCCTCTCAGAACTGGGAGCCCAAGCCAAGGCCAGAGACCCGCGCAAGGGAACGGAGAAACAAGGACGGAGAGACTGACAGACACAGAGACTGAGACAGAGGGGGAAGGGGGACTGAGAGAACAGAAAGAAAAGAGAGGAGCTAAAGAGAAAATGTGAAAGCTGAGTGAGGGATCTCTTCTAGAAAGGTGCCAACTTCTCTGAAATTCAGCCTCCAGCCGCATCTCCCTGCGGCCTCCCTGGGGAAGGCAAAGACTGAGCAGTGAAAAGCAAAAATAAATCTCTAAACCTCTACCCTGTTTCTGCACAATTCCATGCAGGGTGCAGAACCTGCAAGCCCAGAAAAACATTAAACCACTTCCCACCCACCAGGTGCCCTGGAGCCCAGTTCTCGAGGCTACTTCCCAAGGAAGCTGACCCCACTTGATAACTAGAGGCAGCTTGTTTTTAGGAGACATGGCCTGGACTGATTTGGTCTTTATTTTCCGGATGGTGGGAGATGAAGGATGAAAGTTCTAAAGAATGGCGTCTTTAGTAGTGACTTCAAGAAATCTTAAACCCGCTGAACCTACCGCCTCTTCACCATTTACCAAATCGGGGGCTGCATCCTCTACCCCCAGCTCGGCACCACGATCCTCTAACAGGCAATTTCGTTGGAGCGAAAAGGGACTCACTCCACTTGCCCCTTATTCTCTTGCTAGCTGGTTCAGATTCTTAACAATCAAAATAACCTTGACTCCTTCCCCACAGCGGCCTGCTACACAGTCTTGGGTTTGTTTTGGTTTTGGTTTCCCCCCTACACACACACATTTGTGTATTAGATTAAGGGAAAAAGGAGGAAGAAAACAAAAAATCTCCAAAACCGATTCTGTCGCAAACGAAAGAAAGAAAATAATTGCAAATAAACTCTAGTTCGGAAGCCCGGAGAGTCGTAAACCTTTGTCGGCCCTGCAGACTTCGCGCAGATGTTGACGGTTCAATTTGTCGGGTCTCAGAACATCCGCAGCTGTCCAGAGCTGGGAGAACGCGGGAGGGGGCAGAGCTCCTCCGGGAAAGGCCCAGGGTTCAAAGATGCCGGAAATGCGAAACGAGTCCCGCACTCCACCCCCCCGCGCGAGGCCAGGCCTGCCTCGGGCCCCATCCCCCGGCGCCAGCTTCCGAGGGTCGGCGCCCTCACCCCAGCAGGCGCCGGGAACTCGGAGGAAGGAGCCCGGGAAAACCTCTGAGACCTGGCCATGCAGAAGGATCAGGCCGACACAAGGACCCGCGGCCCTTAATAAAGGATCCAGAGCTGAGTTCCCAAGTCTGCCGCACTCGGGACGTTTCACGCGATCCGGCCGCAGGCCAGGCCCCGCTTCGTGCCCCCGGCCACCGCCTACCCTTTCTCTTGGGACCCTAGCTGCCCTGCCTCGCTTTCCGGCTGCCCCAGCTCCCCGCCCTCGGCCGAGCCAACCCAGAGCCTGTTTGGTGTCGGCGCCGCCTTGCTTTCTCTATTCCTACACTTTCTGCCCAGCAAAGCTGGGGAAAGTCCAACTAAAAAAGCCGCCTCCAAAAACCAATTTCTTCGAGACGTGGTCCTGCACCTCGGGCGGCAAGGTACTAATGCACTCTCTCCTACCTCTCCAGCCCAGGGCCCACCGGCAGAATCCCAGGGAAGCTACTATCCCTTCTCAGGACGTCTGGTGCTTAGGGCCTGGGAAGCTAAGGGCCAAGGTACCTTCTGTAGGCCTGACACAATGATTCATTCACTCCAGCTCCTGGCTGTCGTCGCCGCACTTTCCCCCAACCCGACGGGGGCGCTCCGTACGCCTTGCACTCACCAGCATTGTAGGCTGCCAGATCCGCCCCAGGACCAGGGCTCTTGCGCTTCCTAGGTCGCCCCTTCTGTACGGTGCCCACGCCATTGTAGTAAGGAAGACCCAAAGGGTTGGCCCCTGCGGCGCTCAGCCCCGCACTCTTGGCGGCGGCTGCTGCAGCCGCTGCCGCCGCCACGTCGGCGTGGTTGAAGTGCGCAGGGTACTCGCCCTGCAGCAGCGCCTCGAAGTGCAAGCGGCAGTAGACCAGGCTGTCCTTCATACCGAAGTGGTCGCCGGTGGTCAACATCTTGTTACACGTGGTGCACGTGAAGCAGTTGAGATGGTAAACCAAGTCCCGAGCACGCATGACCATCTCCGAGGCCGAGATGCCCAGGTGGCAGCGGGCACAGCGCTGCACAGAGAACCGCCTGTAGGGACCATGGAAGGAGGGGCTGTGGGGACAAATGGTTGGGTAACCCCCCCACCCCATATCCCTCCTCCAGATGCCGCCGCTGCGCCGCTGGGGAAAATCCCCTCCTCAAGAACAACAATCCAGCCTTCATTTGGAGGATGGGGGGGAGAGGGAACTAGATTTTGACCCAGGCCTACCTAGTCCTACCCTGAAGTAGTTTCCCTTAACCATTTTCATCCTACAAGAGCTTCTATTTTACCCAGAGTCTGAGCAAGCCCTAGGACAGCCTTCACTTGCAAGCTAGGAGAAACTCCCCCACTTACTCCTTCCTCAACCTTTGCCCCTGCCCTCCAGACCAGCGCCTGGGAATCCTACAGACCTTGGTAATTTGAAAGAAATGGAGAGACAGGGAAAGAGAGACAGAGACACAGAGAAAGAATATAAACAGACCCTAACCCTAAGCTCGGAGAGGAGAAGAAGGGACCTTGGGGCCTCTTCTTAATTATGGCTCTTTAATACTGGCCAGCCTTAGCTCTCGTCTCTCCAAAAGACCCAGAAGCACACTCACTCCCCAAGTTCTCCCTCCAACTTTGTTCCAGCCAGCCTAGGCTGTCTGGGTTGGAGGGTATCTATTTCTATCCCTTCTGGTAGGCCCAAGAAACTTCACATGGAAAGGAACGCAAGGACCCCCACCCAAACGTATTCGTGATCTAAGCTCAGAGGGGAGGGCAGTTTCTGACTTTTTCTAGTCTCTACACTTCATGAACCTTCCCAAGAGCCACCCAAATTGCTACTTTAAAATGTCACCAGGTTCTTACTGGGTTGGAGAAGGGGGTCCTGAGAAGAGTAACCTCTACTGAGACTACAGGGAGAAAAGAGGGACAAGATTGTGCCTGAGATAGGGAGGGGCCTAACGGCCAGCGGATCCTGGTGGGGGGCTACCTGTAGTAGTCTTCTTTGCAGTAGATGCTCCCATCCTTGCTGAAACAGGTGAGCTCCGACTCCAGGTTGAGTTTGCACTCACAGCACTTGAGGCAGCGCATGTGCCACTGCTTGTCCACCGCCAGCAGGTAGTAGCGGTCAGAGATCTTGCCCCCGCAGCCGGCGCACAGCGCGGCGCGGTCACTGCTGATGGACGGCATGGTCTGCGAAGGGAGGAAGGCGGGAGACCGCCGCGCCTGCGTCAGCCTGTGGCCGCGCCGCCACCAAAAATCCAGTACCCGCATCTCCCTCCGTGGCCCCAGCCGGCCCTGAACGCATAGAAAGGGCTGCCTGAGAGAGAAGCAGCTTCCTCCACCCAAAAGGGCCCAAATCCCGGTGGCTAAGGGTCAGACCCAACGGCCCAGTTCTAGGCTGCCAAGGGCCCAAGCCCCAGGCTCCTGGTCTAGGTGATTCTCCAGCCTTATGTCTCCTGCTTCCTGACCCTATGCCCTTTCCCCAGAAATATTCCCGCTGGTTAGGGACTGGGACAGCCATAACTATATTTCAGTCAAGCCCTCCAAGAGCTTTCCCCAAACTGTTTCTTAAAGAAACCACCGTCTGGGCCCCAGAAATGGGGTAAAGTGACCATTAAAGGTCACGGTCCACACAGACTTCACTTCAGAGAGACAGCAGAGTTCCTGGCCCCCAGCCCCAGTGATCTCTGGATCCTCAGATGAAAGGTTTAGGCCAGGACAGGTCGGGCAACTAACTTCTGTCTCCTTTGCCACACTAGCCGGACCCTCTTGAGTCTTGGGAGATGGTGAGTAGGGTACAAGGGGACCCTCAAAGTCTCTGCATGCAGGACAGGCCCAAACCAAATTCATCCCTAACCAAACCGAGGAGTAAGGAATGTTTAATGAGGGGGAAAAGGTCTCGGAGACCGGGAAGCCACTGGGCTGCCGCTCTTGCTCTCGGAGCTGAAAAGCTTCGCTAATGCTCCCCACCTCCTCGTCCTCTAAAGGTCACTTCTGGGCCCGCTTCTTGGGCAGCGTTTGGTTGTCTGGCCCCCGGGGAGGTCTGAGGCCAAGAACTGGCTATTTGGGGCTGGGCCGGCGGAGCCAGGTATAGAGATCCAAATGTAGTCTCCTTCCGCGAGAGCCAGGCCGGATCCTGAACTCCCAGCCCTGGCCGGGCAAGTCGGGCCAGCCAGGGACGCGAGGACACCATCAACGAAAAGTGCTGGCCCAGAAGACTTCGGCCCCTGAAACTGCGCTAGGAAGGGAGCCCCAGCTGCTGGGAGACTAGAAGTGACTCAAAGCGGCTGGAGCCCCAGGGCTTCTTCCCGGCTGGTTCGCCCTTCTCGGGAGGCGCGGGCGGCGGCGCCGGAGCGGAGTGGTGGAGGAGAGCCGGGGGCTGGAGCGCCTGGCGTAGGGGAGAAAAGAGCCGCCCGGCCGCGGGTGGGACCCCGCTTCACTTCAGGAGAAACACTCTCCTCCACCCTCCGGGTCGGAGATTTTGTTTCCCTCCACCGCCCCAGCAGCCGGGTTTCCCCCGAGCCTGGAGCTACCGGCCTTGCATCCTGTCCGAGGATCCCCAGCGCTCAGTCCCGTGCGGCACGAAGGACTCTCCCCAAACTTCGGGGAGCAGAGGCGCTGACGGGCCCGGCCCGGTCCCAGCTCTCAGCCCCGACTCCACAGCCGCGCGCCTACCGTCTCCGTGTCGCCGCGGTCGATGGCGGAGCTGATGGCGGGAGCCTCACTCTTGGCCCTGCGGTCCATCTCGTCGATGACCCCGTGCACCTCGGGGCCCGACAAACTGTGGAACAGCATCGCGGCGGGACCGGCGGGGCCGGGGGCGCGGCTCCTCAGAGGAAGGGCTTGCCCCCCGCCTCAGCTGCCTGGCGCTCCCGGCGCTAACGGGCCCTATGCATTGCCACCGCGGCCCCGGCCCCGCCCGAGCTCGGCTGCGCCCCCAGGCCGGGCTCCGGGCCCCGGGCGCCCGCGGGCCAGGACGCCTCCCGCCGAGGCGTGGGGGCAGCTACATCGCTGGGCGCCTGGGCGGCGGCGCCAAAGCCAGGGTCACTAGGGCACGGGGAGAGGGGGGGTGGAGGGAGACGAGGGCAGAGGTCGGCGCCCGCCGCGGGCGCTTTCACGCCGCGGGCATCGCCCGCCCGCCTTCCGCGCCCAGGGCGCAAAACAGGGGCGCAAACTCTGCCCGGGCGGCGACGGCTGCAGTCGGGGTTCACCCAGGAAGGGGTAGGTGCCCGCGGCGGCCAAGCTGCCTGAACCCCTTCTCTCCCTGGGGGGCGCCCCCTGCCCAAGGCGACCCTCTTGGGCGCTGAGTCGGCGACTGGAGAAGGGGTTTCTCTGAAGCCAGCGAGCCGAGCCGAGCCACCCGGAGAATTGAAGAGGAGGAGGAGGAAGAGGAGGAGGAGGAGGCGGAGGAGGAGGTGGAGGAGGAGAAAAAGGAGGAGGAGCAGAGTGGGAGGAGGAGCCGCCGGCCGCGGGCCCAGCCGCGCGCAATGCTCTCCAAGCGCGCGCCGAGCCCAGCCCCGGCTCTGCAGTCCGCGCCAGCGCAAGCCTCCGCGCCTTTTCTACAGCCGCGCCTGACATCACGTCCTGCTGCCGTGCCATTGGCCGCTGGGCGCCCCAGGCCTTGGCAGCGCGTGCTCCGGGAAGGCGGGAGACCCGAGAGGGAGGGGTGAGGCGAAAGGAGGAGAGCTGAGAGGAGATGGTGGGAGCTGGTGGGCGAGGCTGGAGGAGGAGGCGGGAGGAAGGGAGGAGGGAGAGCGCGGGGTTTGGAATTTTTAAGCTACGAACAGTTTCCTGCGATTTCTTCGGGAAGGAAAATTAAACCCTTTCCCCTCGCTGTCTCCATCCTAAGAAGGCGCAGCCAGAGGATGCTCGAGGAGTTCTCACTCCGATCTCCCCTTGGCCTCAGGCACCGTCTGGGGAGGCTGGAGAAGTCAGGCCTGAGGCAGAGTTGCGAGAGCCTTCGGCCGCTTCCCGCTGAGGTCCGCCTTCGTCCGGGGCTCCCTGCCGCGGGCGGCCGGCGGTTCCGGCCTCCTGGGGACCCAGCTGAGCCCCAAAGGCCGGAAAAGCACAGAGCTGTGACTCCCGGGGAGGAGGCCAGCTAGCATATCCTCGCTCCAAGAGAGCTAGGGCCCAATTTACGGCCAAGCGTGTAATTCTTTCTTGCTCTTTCCCGTCTCTCTCCAGCCTGGAAGAGTGGGGCGAGCATGGTTTAAGAACTCAGAGAAGCAAGGAGTTCGAATCCAAACTCTGCCATTTACATGCAGTGTAATCTTAGGCAAGTGACTTAACTTCCCTTAGCTTGTTTCTGACCTTTTCAATGAGACACAAGAAGGCCCCTCCAAGTAGATGTAATGAAGGAAAGAGATTATGGACATAAAATGTCTGGAACATAGTAGGCACTCCACACATTCTTTAAACATTCATTCCCTCTTTCACTCTGAGATACATTTGGCATCAGTGAGGTTCTTAAAGACCACAGACCCATGCTCTGACCTTTGGGCATGCCAGGCTACCCACCCTGGTAACATCAGAGTCACCTGGCTACACCATTTCACCAAGGACTAACAGCCTAGACTGTGGGATAAATCCCAGTACCAGTCCCAGTCTTTAGACTTCTGGCTCAACCTAAAGTCTCTTGGGCAATTGAGGGTAACACCCAGGTGAAGTGGGAATTAGGAAATAAAAAGTGATTGTAGAGAAAGACTGAATAAGCAAGCCCGTTACTGAGTCCTATCCCCCTGAGTCCATTTGTTTTGGAGGTGAGTTTACTCCATGTAATGGAGTTAAGGGTTTCAGGCTGAGGCAACCTGCTTGCCAGAAGAGTAAAGGGAAAGCCAGGATCTCTGAGGACACAGAGTTGAAACAGCACTGAAATCATACTTCCTACATACAAAAGTTTCACACATAAATACACACTACTTGTAATGCCCAAGCACATGCACATGTGTGCAAATGTACATGATCATTTCTTTTGGCAAAAAAAAAAAAACAAAAAAAAAAAAAAAAAACAGCCAGCATGAATTTCTTTTTGATGGCAAAACCACGGCCAGCACTAATGTAGAGCTAAGGTCTATGCGTGCTTATCATGTACAAGTGTCTAGGGCTGAGCAGGAGAGAGCTTCTGGAAGGCTATAAGTTAAAACTACACTTGCCTGCTTGGGCAATCCCACTTAAGTCCCTAAGTGCGCTCCCAGGAGGCTACGTTTTTCGTATTTGCAAAAACTCTTGAAGTTACAAGTATGTGTGTACAGGCTGCACGTGCACAGATGCCCCAGCGCGAGGGAAGGACCATAAATCCAAAGGCGCGCGTGCGCGCGAGTTCACACAGACCGTGCTTCAGCGCCTGCACACGGCCCGCGCCCAGGCACGCGGACGCCTACACGAATACACAGACATGTTGTACTGAAGCATCTGGGACAATTTCTTTCAAAGAAAGTGGGGAATAAAAATCTAATCTGGGAGTCACCAGGGTTCATCTGGAGGTCGCCCAAGGGGGAGAAAAAAATTATAACGGTGCTGGAGTTTTTGTGTTTGGTGCTGGCTGGATACAATACATTTTTGAGAGCTCCAGGGACTGTCTTAGGAGCTGGAGGGGTTGTCCATAGTAACTCTTGCCGAGGGCTGAAACACACCTTGCAGCTCTTCACTTCCCCCCAGTACATACAAGATTCCCTAGCCACCTCTCGGACCAGAAGCTGCCTTCCATCCCTGTACTGACCCTAGATTCCCGGACAGTCAAGATCCCCGGCGCGTGTGCTTCTCTATCCCTGTTCTACAGGCTGGGAAGCGCTCGGGGCTGTAAGAAGCTCCAGCTCCTCTCCCGCGGCTGGGCACCTTGGCTCCCGGGTTCAGAGGCCCTTAACTTTGCTAATCTCCCCCAGAGGCAAGGGGACGTCGCGCAACCGCTGAACCCTGTCCTCAGAGACTAAATAAGGAGAGGAACGGGCTGTAAACACATATCCTGACGCGTGAATGACATTTACACCGTGCGAGAAGCCGCAGCCAAGGGAAAGAAGGGGGTGGGGAGGACGGGCACCGACAGGTAAATGGAACATTCGCAGGCGCCGGAAACCGCGGCCCTCGCCCCCTCCCCCTAATAAGGGGAAAGAATCCCTAAGCCCCACCGAACCTGCCTTTTGTGGGAGGTGACAGGTGAACGGATTTCAGGTCTGGCCACTGTTGCCGCTGCCTACCTCCCCACCATCTGCTTCCTTGCAGAGAAGCAGACCCGGCGCATAATGAGGTAGCAGCCTCCAGCCGGCCACCGTGACTAACTCAGAACAAAAGCGCTCCCTCCACGCCTCCTCCAACAAAGGGGCCACCAGCCCCGGCGCTCCCCGAAGGCTGCGGGTCTCCCGGCTACCGGCTGCGGAGCTTCCGCGCGCAAACTTCTCGGGGCTCCCGGGGCTGCCGGCGCCACGGAGCCGGGGCCGCGAAGGGAGGAAGCGCAAGCCGCCCGGAGAAAGTGAGGCCAGGCCGGGCGGGGGGAGAGGGGGAGGGCGCGGGGGAGCCGCGGAAGGAGGGTGATTGATCAGCGCGCTGTTCCCGGCGCTCTGTCCCGTTATTAGAGGCGGCCAAAGCAGGGCCACGCAATAACCTCGGAATCGCCAACTAATTGACGCTGCAGGCAACTACTTCATTGTGCGCGCTGGTTTTATGTCTTCATAGCCGGTGATTGACAAGGTGTAATTAGTCATCTCACTCGGTGATAAACATGGGCACCCTCCTCCCGCGGCATCAGGCCGTGTGTACCAGCAGAGGAAGCGATAGTTGACGCTGATATACCATTAAATCAAAATGAAGACGTTCAGAAGTGTGTGTTTGCTGTGACGCTCTGATGGTTTATTTCTCAAATACGGCACCAACAGATTTACTTGATTTGCAAGTTAACTACAACATTAACTGGTTTTATTTATTTTGCCTCTTCCTTCCTCTTCCTAGGCAGGGATGTTGCTCTTGGAGAATGTGAAGACAGTTTGCTTCTTGACAAGCGAGCGAGCGGGCGCCCAGATTTCTGCAGCCTTCCTGAGTCTCCCCCGAGGGAAAAGCAGGCAGAGAAAATGCCGGATTTGGGAGCCACCAGGGAAGGGTTCCACGCAGGGGAGCCGCCCTCTTTGGCCCCAGAATCTCCTGCCTGGGGCCCCCCTTTGGGTACTGCCAATGGATGACCTCAAACTCTGAGGATGGTTGCTGGGGTTGGGGACAGGGAAACCTCCTGAATAATAACTGCAAAGAAGAAAGAGGCAAAATCAAGGTTTCCTCCCCGCCTTGAAGCAGAAAGGACAGTGTTCTTGAAGCTGTTGGCTGCAGTCACAGGGCTAGTTGCCCGCCTTGATTCCCTGAGTAAAGTATAACGTTTCCTGTGCCTGGAGCTTGCTTGCACCATTCAGCAAATTACACTTCTTGCTTACAAAAGTGGGTCTTGCTCAGGGAAATGTGTGTGTGTGTGTGTGTGTGTGTGCGCGTGTGTGTTTCCCCCTCTACATTGAGGTTTCTTTTAGGGATGCTGGTTATTTATTCCAGAAACCTGGACTTAATTTTTAAAAAGGAAGGGTCCACACCTCGTCTGCTTTGACCCTAATTCTGGTTGGAGAAGGCAGAGATTGAACAAAGCTATCGACCTGTGAAAGTCCATTTCCAGGGTATCACTTGTGTCCCCAGGAAATACCCCCAGTGGGGTATGCTTCCTGCACTTTCCCCTTCTCTCTAACCTCTGTCTCCAGTTCGTATAGCAGAGGGATGGTGATTCCTTCCCACTGTGTAGGAATGTGGGGTTGTGGGCATCATCTCCAAGAAAAGGTGGGGTGACGGTTAGTTCTAGGCATGGCAGAAATCCCATATTTTCAACAAGAACCCCCTTTCACAGGCTTGTGGGCTTCATTCAGCAAAGGGGAAATT